AAATCTTTAGCAGACGATAGTTATTTTCCAAGGAATTTAACATTATCATAATATCTACAGCAAATTTTGACGTACTATTATATGTCTCGATGAGCTCATAAACACTGATATTAATTATTTCCAAATGTTATAACTTTAGTAGTTCATACTTTTTATAGTGATCATATGACGACTGTAGCAAATCAATGCATCACTATTCATTATCGTTGACATCTTGAATTTAAATTTTTATCTGCACAAAAATCAAAAACTGCACTATTTAGAACATTCCCAAACGTATTCTATCCATTCGAATTTCACAAAAGACTCTGAAATGTCCTAGAACAGCAAAACGTGAGAACCTCTTCAACTATCCTATTCCGATTTCAATAATTTTTTGCGCGTAGATACTGCATAGTGTTCTAACAAAAACTCTAAAAAGAGGGTGTGGGTGGGGTGTGGGTGTGGGTGTGGATGCGGGTGTGGGTGCGGATGTATCTGTGTGCGTGTGAAGATTTCTTTACCATCACTCTCACCCGCATCCACCCACACCCACACCCACATCCACACCCACCCACACCCACCCACACCCACACCCACACCCACACCCACCCACACTCACACACACCCACCCACACCCACACCCACACCCACACCCTTTTTTAACAGAAGATACATGAAATACTGACATTCTATATGAATTTGCTATACAGAGCAATAAAAGTAATCCAAAGAAAAACTATTGACAAAACTATCAATGTCAGACAATAATTTCACTGTAATTGAAAGGAATATTTTTATTTGATTTTAATCTATAGAATCCCAATGCCGCATATCTATGTATTTAATTGTCTACTCTTTCTTTGAATGAAATACAAATTTATGAAGCACGTCTATAAACAAAGAGGAAACAACAGATTTCAAATTTTTGTAATCTGAAATTTTTTTCAGAGTATTCATAGATTTCACACAACTCTAGACTATTTCTGAATTTTCCTAAATTGATCGCAAACTCAGATATTCTCTGGTGTCCTCTAAGTTTCTGCAGCACTTCTACGAAGACTTTCTGTTTTTAGAGTTTCAAAAAATATAGTTGATAAAAATGTGAGTTTTTTCAATTTTCTAAGCAAACAACTAAACAAGTGATATGTGTATAGTGAATATCTCTAATACCTCTGCATATAGATACACTGCGTTCGAACTTTATACATGAAAATAAAATCATTTTAATAGATGCAGAAATCTTTTATCATGAATATTAATATGTTTATGCATTAAAATCAATGACAATTTCTTCATTATTAAATAATGACAATATACTTGTAAGTACTTATTCCACTATCGAAAATCAATCAATTCATTTTCAAATATTGATGCCAGTACAAGTAGGAATATCAGAAGATAAGAAATAAATAGAAATAGAGCTCTTTAACAATTATTACATTTAACAGATAAATCAGTTAATGTGTATCATTTTCTTCTTCACCATCGCTATAATTCACCGTTGTCATGAGTGTTTGACTGTTTCTACGTATAAAAATGATCGAAAAATTGTATGATTAAAGAGATTTGAAAGAAAAGGAGAAAAAAGGCAAGATTGACTGAAATGAAACAGAATGCGTTACTCTACCGAAAAAATAACAAGCAAATCATTTGAAAAAGCAAAAAAAACAAGTAAACAGTCACAGCCTCAAGCAATTTCAATCAACAGAGACATCTTGAAGCTATAAAAAAAAAACAATTAGTTTTCCATTTTTTTATCGTGGTGAGTAAATTATTAAAAAGATTCAGTAAACGAAAGAAATCATTTTGAGTTTTATATAAATCCTCAGCTTCGTTAATCTATGTCGTCTATGAGATACGTACACGTACTACCCATCAATCACTTATGTGAATACTTCTTTCATATTTTCATCTTTTATGCTTATTGACTGTATATAAGATGAATAGTTTGGAGCTTCATGTCGTTCTTTTTAGTGCATCAATTTAAGATCTTGAACATCTGAATAACTTTATAAGTCAGATTCAAAGAATGTCAGTTCCATGATGATATTTTGAGATCAAAGTTGCTTGTTAAAATGTTTTAATATAGTAAGTACTTGTTCAAATGAGAAGAAAAAATAAATCAATCAAATGAGTATAAGTATAAGTGACGAGAGGATGTGCCATGTACTAGAAGAGAAGCATTATATCAAAGCCTTCACTGAATTTACGTCTATGATTGTATGAAGCATCGAAAATATTTTACTCTTCAATGAATGTTTGCCAGAATTATGGAATGTGTTTCTCCATCGTTAAAGGAAATTCACAACTGATTGCATGGTTTTGGGTATAGAAACAGATTAATAAGATTAATTTGTACGACAATGATGACGAACAAGAATAGGTATTGAATTAGAATAACTAAGAAATTATAATCACAAACTTTTAAGAAACTTCGATACATACAGCTATAGACTCTGTTCAACAAATAGACTAGTTTTGAGCCTTAGTCATTCAGCAGTATTTGTGTTTTTTATGGAGTAGCATAGAAAAAAAGAACCTCAATATATTTTTAACACATTTTTTTTGCTTAGATGAACATGTAAGCCCGATTACGGATGTGGAATAATCTGAAAAACACTCTTCTCGTCCAACATTTTGCTTACGATTACATGCACTCTAACTCTAATGAATATGCTTGTTTCCGTTAATATCTTTGCATATAGCTAGAACTATACCCTCTATGTAAAAAAACTTTTTCTATTGAGACTAGAATTTCCCATGAAAATATTTTTTGAATCAAATTGCGTCTAAGTCGCGTTTTGCTTGCGTGCAAATCGCAACAGTCGAGCGCGTCTAGACGCAGCTCAGATGAAACATTTCTTGCTTTTAGATGCGGTTCGACATTAATTCTCGTTCAGACGCGATTTCTGACAAGATCGCGTCCAAATGCGATTCAAAGTAAAGTCGCATCTCGACGCGTTCGAACCTATATTTCAAATTTTAAAAATGTATTACGATCCGCCTCAGGTTTGATCTGAGTCTCCATCAATATTGCCTATTGATGATCTTTACCTAACTATAGGCTAACGGAAAGTTCGAATTTTGATGTTTCTGAAATAATAGAAATGAGATTAGAACAAGTGATCTAGCGATTAAAAAGCAAGTGTACATACCATTGAGCCACATGTGGTCACATTAGTTATCAAACGAAACAGACTCTGTATATGAATGATTTATTAGACACTTATTTACAAATGCATGAATAAATAAAATTGTGTAGATGTTTGAGGAAAAATTAAAATTCAGAAAAATTTGAAATTATTGGAGAAAAAAATTGCACTTTTATTTTTTCTTAAGAATAATTTTAAATGTTTCGATAGAAACAATAAAATTTAACTCTTTCTAAGAAAATTTTAAATTTTCCTGAATTTTAATTTTTCTTTCAAGATATGTACAACATTTAAATTATTATCACATACCACAACATCTATACTCATCCAAGAAAATTATGCATAAAACAAATTCAGTGCCATAATTTTTAAAATTACTTATGATGACAACTATTATTTAAAAAAAATATTGTTCATGTTTTTTTTGAAAATTTCATTAATTTCAATTTCAGAGTACCTATTTTGCAAAATTAATGTCTCCAGTATTTTATTAAAAATTAGATTTATTCTTTCATGATGAAAAATTTGAAAATTCTTGAGACATAGCATTTTTGAAAGTCGATTGATTTGATAGAAATATTGATATGTGTTTCCTAGCCAGTAAAAAGATATCGTATGAAAATTTTTTGTATTAGTAATTTTCTAAACAAGTTTCGTTTATATCTTATTTGAACTTCGTTTAGACGCGATTTGTACAAAATCGCATTGAGACGTAACTTTTAATGGTTTTTCACCGCGCCTAGACGTGTTTCACAACAAAAACGCGTTTAAACGCACAAATCTTGCGTTTCGTGTTTACATGGGTTTTTTTACAATTTTTGTTATTAAATGCTGCAATATGAATCGATTGTGTCCATTTACTAACAATCATTGGCAAGTGCATTGATAAGCTTCTTTCCGCATTCTCATTATGAAAAAATTTAATTTATTAATATTTTCGATGTGTTTCTTTAAATTACTCAGTCGTGATCAAAGTATTGACAAGTCTAGTGGTATGAATTTCTTTTTAATTGAATATGTTTATGACTTGTAATCAGATATCTTTAATCATTCTTAATTATTAAAACAAGAACGAGTATGAATAGGTAATTATAGTTATATTTCATTTAGCAGCATCTAGACACATTACCTACTTTTTAATGTATGCCTACAACACAATGAAGATACTCGGAAAAGAACTAAGATATGTAGTTGTAGCTTAAATCTGTTTCTTACACTATTTTCGGAAAATATCTAAAAATGTAGCATGATTGTTTGATCATTCATTTCCGCATTGACTTTCTGGATCTCTATTTTGTAGATGGCGTGAATTGAAAAATTTTTATACTTGAGTATTTCATATCGCGAAAGAAAAATGTTGTAGGCATAGTGACAACACATTATCACTAACTTTCTAGTTCTAATTGCAACTTGTTATTTCCAGTGGCTTTTTATTGCAAAGAAACTACATTTCGTTCTTCTTTCTCAAGACGTTTTGACAATAGAATATTAGTAAGTCTAGCTGCAGAGTACAGTCCTGGCAAAAAATTCTGGGACACTTGAGAATGTTTGTGCAAAATTTTATACATCGCTCGAGTTAAATTTTATATATATGGTAAGCGTAGTTATTGCTCAAGCTTTTATATAATGTCCTAAAAACCCAAAAGTGTGCGTTTATATGACATTATATAAAAGCTTGAGCAATAACTACGCTTACCATATATATAAAGTTTAACTCGAGCGAAGTATAAAATTTTGCACAAACATTCTCAAGTGTCCTAGAATTTTTTGCCAGGACTGTACATGCCATTTTACAATTAATAATCAAAGATTACATTTCGTTTAAGTTCTATACTGAACTGCTGACAAACTCTTACTTCAAGCTTCATGTTAACATCTGAAGCAGTTTCATCAGAAGATTTATTGAAATGGAATGGAAAAAATCAAGAAAGTATTCAACAACAATTGATTTTTGATCGTAGTTGCGTTAATCTTGAATCAAATCAAATAGTCTGGTTAAATTCAAACAATAAAAACATTGAATCTATAACTAAGAATTTTCGTCTTCTTGTTGATTATATAAAACAGTTAAGTAATGTTGCAGATTGCTATGATTATATACAACGGACTCCAGATATCGGAACGATCCTAGTTTGTTCTGGACCATCCAGTGAATCAATTATTCCTCAAGTCCATGACTTGAAACATCTTTGGTCTATCTACATCGAGCATTATAATCCTTGTGACAAAAAACAAAACTATGATGAAAACGTATATAAAAATTACAAGAAGGTAATTTATATTTATTCTATTCCATTCAAAATTGTTTGGCAGATTATTTTGTCAATGAAGCAGTGTTTTTATTCCTAAAATGTATTTATCAATCAAAATTGAACTAATTTTCAATGTCCATTTTCAAAAGCTTTTGTAGTAGCTTAATTATAAAACTGGTAGTAATAGTGTGCAGCAATGCTGATGAAAACGAGCAGAAGATAGTAGACATCAACATATAGAACATCACGACATACTTCTCACTTGCCATGCATTCTAAATTCAGTTATTCACGTCCTTGAAAATTTCTGAACTAAATTTTAAATATTGCTTGTGTATCAATATAAATAGTTAAATACATTTTATCATTTTTATTCTAATGACATGTGTTATTTTGAAATATTCATATGTACTTCTAGTACTAATTCAATGAAATGAATCTTTGTTTTTAAAGTCGTTTCTATCTGTTCAATGTTTTGAGTCTTGTTATGTAGGTACGACGATTATCTGTTAATACATTTGATAGTATATATACTGATCTTAAACAAAATATTGAAGAAATTAAGAAATATGAAAAGAGTACAACAATAATCAGCAACCTTAGCAAAACAGATTTTACTACAAATGTTCTGCCAATGTCGAATTGGACATCGTGTATTGGTCTTCTATGTAACTTACCTTATGATAAAAAAAAAAGTCGTCAACAACTAATCAGTCTGATGAAAGATTATTACCAGGGAAATAAGAATGAGTTAAGGAAGATTGAAGAGTTTGAGAATAATTATTAATCAAATCAAGCAATTTGGTGGTATACACGTGATAGTTTTATCTATCGTATATTGAATAAAGCTCTACGTCAAAATAACATTGAATTATTGTTTTTATTTGGATTTTTCGTACAAGACATGTATCGACAACTCAAAGATATATATGAACTAGATAAAAAACGTTATACTAATGAAAATCAAGTAGTTATGGTATATCGTGGACAACTCATGTCTCGTCATGAAATACCAATACTTCGAATAAATACGGATCATATTGGTAATAATGCTTTCTTTTCAACCACAATGGATCGATCACTTGCATTATTTTATACGGGTCCTGGAGAGCTTACCGATGAATTTCAAAGTGTATTATTTGAAATTGAATTGAATGTTCACGATGAATCATATCTTCCATTTGCTGATATTTCACATCTAAGTTCATTTCCGAATGAATCCGAAATATTGTTTATGATTGGTACACAATTCATGTTAAGTACTGTAAATGATCAATTAGATTATGACAATACAGAACGGATATGGAAGATAAAATTAAAAGTTCGATCTAATGATCGTATCCAAGATTTGAAAAATCTTCAAAGCTCGACTCAACGGAAAACATTGAAAAATTGGGTCAATATAATTAAGTCATCGCTTTGTTATTCTAATTGAGTCGTTTAATGATGTGAGACCAATATTTCGAAAACTCATTCAATATTTTCCAGACGAACAAAACTAGATTTTAGTGATTGAAAACCACTGTCTTGCACGCTATGAATTTTTTAAACAAAAAAATCATGCGGAAGCATTATTAGCCTACGAACAGGCTCTAAGCTTTTGGCTCAAATATCACGAGAGTATCAGTGATAATGATGATGAGCTTCTATGCATGAATGATATTGGCCATATTCATAAAGAAATTGGTTTTTATTATAAATACATCCGTAAGGATAATAAACTTGCAAATAAATATTATGATTTGGTCATCGAGTTCTATAAATCAGCAGTGCAAAACAGATCGTTTGCTACTCTTAATGGCGACGACGAAATGATAAACGTGTTTTATTATATCGCTGACATTTATGGTAAATACAAGATAAAAGTTAGTCGGAACGAAAATGAAAGAACGCAAAACTATTTATTAGCTATTGAAAATCTTGAAAAGAATATTTACGATCTCGAGAGACTGAATGCTATCAACAAGACTGTCGTAGCTGATCGTCGAAAATACTTAGCTTCACTATACGAATCAACCTCTACACATGATAAAGCTTTACACAATTTCGATTGCGCATTGGAACTTTATCGAGAGAACCATCAGCATTCAAACGCAAATTTTAATAAAATTTATGAAATCTGTGACAAGATAATTAGTATCTATAGTGGAAAAGAAGAGCAAGATTACAACAACATATTAAAATACCAGTTAATAAGACATGAATATTTGATTGCAGAAAATAGTTTGGAACCGAATAATGATGATAAAATAAGAATGATTGACAACAGTTATGATAATTTATCATTTACTTACAAAGCATTAAATCAATTAGATTTGGCAAATCAAAGTTCCAAATTGGTATCACAACTACATTCAAAAACTAATCAATCAGACGAAAGAGATGAAACAAATACTGACAATTAAACTCATGGAAGCAAATTTGTATAAAAACAGAATAAACTAAGGATGAAAGACATATTGTGGCATCTTGAATATAGATTGGTTGCTTACCTTATCATGAAAATGTCAAGCAGGGGTGTGGGTGGTGTGGGTGGGTGGATGTGGGTGTGGCTGGGTGGGGTGTGGGTGTGGGTGTGGGTATGGGTGTGGGTATGGGTATTGATCTTCTGTCAATTAACATTCCCACACCCACACCCTGTTTTTGCTCGTTGTTTTGTAGTTTCATAATACAATCATATTTTAAAAAACTGAATTACACTCAATAACCTGAATCCGATTCATTTTTTCGTCGAATCGATCATACTTTCTTGTGGAGTCTTCAATGTACTCAGTATAATAATTATATAACAATAAGCACGTCGAATCTTCGCTTTAGTTCAAGTAAAACTTATTGAGCTTATCGTCATTGTAAAACGTTCACATACTCAATTCGATTAAAAAAATGTCAGTTTATGTACATGGTAGTTTTATCTATTATATTTCGAAAAGGTCCAATCGATCGAATCTCTATTTATCCTAGGAAAAAAGGTACATACAAAAATAAGATGCTCATTTACTTGTTAGTCATAATTGATGGTAGCCTGGTTTATATTGATACGTATCATGTACCCTCCCTCTATAAGGGTGTGGGTGTGGGTGGGTGGGTGTTGATGAAGAGAAGACTAGCATCCATATTTACTCATACACACACCCACACCCTCGATGACATCGTTTTATTTTGAACACAATCGTTAACTTTAATTACATAGGCAAAAAGAATTGCTCTTATTTTATTTTACGATTAATCTTCATATCAAGGAATTTTTTTTATAGAAAAAAAGAGTAGCTGATAAAGTCGTTGATGCATAAAACACAAAGAAATAAAACGTTTTGAAAAATAAGTACAGAAAAGAAGATATGTTGAAGGAACCACTTGAACTCACGTAGTCCAAATATCGAGAGAAAAAAAACATATGAAGATCTGCTTTCACATCTAGCAAGAGATGAAACATTTACTCCAATAATATGACCATATCAAGCTAATATTCGTTATGTGAGGATGTATCAAAGAAAAATGTTAACAGAAAACCAATTATTGTTTAATGACTTTTTGAAGATTCCACATTTTTTCGTTGAATCAAAACTTATTCGACATTTCTCTTTCAACAGTGCTTTTGTTTGGCCTTTGATACGTTTAATCGATGAAGTGATTATATTTTATCACTAAAAGTCACAAACATAAAAACAAAAAAAATCATCTTTTCTTCTTTTATAGTTTTATCTGCTTATGAAAACGCAGGTAGTCTTTTATACTGAGTTATTATTTTCTCTAAACGACGATGGTTGACGCAAGGTTTGTAGATGTTTATGTTTTTTCATAGCAAATATTTCGCTACAAAAACGACTGTAAATCTTTAATTAACATTCTCTCTTTTCTTATGTGAAAAAATTATATTTATAATTTCAAGCAAAACAATTCGTTAATCATGTGATTTAATATAAATTGTTTTTTTGTTGTTGTTTCAATAAAATATAGACGGATAACAATTGTATTAGCTGCTTTGCTATTTATATTCTTTGTTTTGACTATTGTATTCGTCACTTTATATGGAGTTGAAAGAAACAAAAGTTCGACTCCTACAATAACAACTACGGGTATGAAATATTTCTATATTTACCTCTAAGATGCGTTTGTTTCTAGTCCAAACAGAAGAATGCGATACTCCTTATTGTATTAAAGCAGGTTAGTTATATTTTAATAAATTAGTAAGATTCTTTTATTTGTAAAATATGATAGCAAATTATTTACTTGAAAGTATTGATAAAACTGCTGATCCATGTGATAACTTCTTTCAATTTGCTTGTGGAACATGGTTAAAGAAGAATCGAATACCTGATGATGGTAATTTGATATATTTTCATGTTTTCAATATATATATGTAAATTATGTTTGTTTTAGCTGAATCTCAAAATACTGTTAACATTCTACGAATTCAACTGGATAATTACCTTGTTGGTAAATATATATAATAGAATAATTTTAAACTATTTGATCATAAGAGTGATTGTAATTAAATTTTATATTTCATTAATTGAGAATCTCAAAGATTTTTTCATAGAATTGTTGAATAAACATGATAGTGGAGTTCAGTCATACTCGCGCATTCGATCTATGAGCGTGTCTAAATAAGGATTCATTAATTTAGATTGATACTTATACATTTAATTATTTTCTTCAAACATAATTTTCTACTTCTGTTGTTTACCACAATGATTATTTAACTATTTTAGAACACATCATATTCTATAACTCACTATAAAATACCGAATAGGGTTTTGCAATTTAAGAATATTAATGCACTTACAGAGTTTCAAGATGATGATCTTAAATAGTAATAGGAACCTATAAAATGGATTGTATTCTTTAATGAGCACTATCAAAAATTAAATCCGATAATATGATTTTCAAGGTTCTTTTTTTTTAATCAAAACTCAGTTATGAAATGACTATTCTAACCTTTTGGTACCGTGCGAGGGCAAATTTTTGGCATGATAGATTACGCCTAAAAATTTCGTGTCGTAGCTTGTCAGATTCTAAACTTTTCAGAAATTTAATTGATTTAAATCTGTAGTTATGTTAGAAATTTGAATAAAATAGTAAATATAAATTCAATGAAAATCAAATTGTTTTTTCCTAACATCGACTGATAGACAAAACTAGACCAATCTTTATCATTTCACCAAGTATATATTAAAACAAGAATGACATTAAATCGATTATTTTATTTCTTATTACATGTAAAAATATCTCTGTCGATAAGAGGCGAAAGTCAATTGTCATAATATGGTTAAGGTTAAAATCTTGGCACTATGTCTTAGTTTAAAGTCATGTGTGAAACTACAAAAGAGTAACTTAGTTTGATTATATTACGTTATAGTCGATACATTTAACTTACGTATTAACAGAAAATAAATTAAATATTTTATTGATATAGTTCATCATAGACAGCAATGATTTTTATTATAGAAAAAAAAGAAATGAATTTTCACTTGATACAAAAGTAAAGAAAAAATGTACGATATTATGTTTCTATACTTGAAAACTGTTTCATAAACTAAATGTAGGTTCGTAAAAAGAGATTATAGATAACTCGGAAATATTTTTTCTTTACTGTAAACTTGTTAGTAGAAATCTTGATATCTGCTTCCTTTCACAGAAATGAAATAATGAACATTGAGAATAAATCTACTACTAAATAGCATCTTCCAATATACATGTTTAGATATGTTAACTTCACCGATTCCTGCCGACTTAAATAATCTTCAATCTGTAATTAATGCTCGTCGTTTTTATGAGACCTGCATAAATGAAACGGTGATAGAATCCGAATCTATCAATGTAATTCTGAGTATCGTCAATGATCTCGGTGGATGGCCAATCTTACAAGGTTCATCATGGAATGAAACATCATTTAATCTTACAAATTTATTAATTCGATTACGTGAATATGGTTACAATATGATATTTGGTTTTGGTACATCAAATGATGATAAAAATTCTTCAACTAATTTTATTCGAGTATTTAATCAATCATGATAATATTTGAATATGTGAATATTTTTTTTTCTTTTTCTATGAATAGGTTTATCAAAGTGATATTGCTCTTGCACAACGATCAAATTATCTTAATGAAACAAAAGTTACCAGATCTTACAGACAGTTTATTCAAGATGTAGCTTCAGCGCTAGCAGTTGGTAGAATAGTAAATTCTAGTGAAGTTGACGATATTTATAATTTTGAAAAACTTATTTCAACTGTAAACAAACATTTGTGTTTTCTTTTCTTTTCTTTTACAAATTAAACAAATGATAATCTTTAGTTTCATTGGACACCAGCTGAACAACATGCTAGACAAAATGAAACAATTCGTACAACAGTTGGAAATCTTTCACAAACATTTAATACAAGTGTAAGTATTCATTTTTATGTTTGTTTATAAAATATTGTTTAGTTTTTTTTATCTTTCGTGAATTTAGTTTGGATTTACGAATTATATTCAACATATATATTCTTTATCAAATATTCCTTTATATGATAATGATATTGTATCAGTTAGTGAACTTGAATTTTTACGTAATGCATCATCGATTATTGATTCATCTTCGCGACGTGTACTACAAAATTATATTATATGGCGTTTTATTATGAGCAGAATAACAGATATGCCTAAACGTTATCGAGCTCTAAAGGATCCATTTGATGAAGCTTATCGAGGCACTTTTGCTCAACGTCCACGTTCAATAACATGTGGAAGTTATATTAATAGTAATATGAGTTTTGCTCTTTCAAAAATTTATATTAAACAATATTTTGATGAAAGCGCGAAACAGCAGGTATTGTATTTAACTCTTTAAAAATATCGCAAGCAAACTAGATTAATTTGTTTAATTTGCGAATAGACTCCTTGAGATTTAAATATTGTACGAAGGAAAACCAAGAGTAATGGAATCAACGATATTTTTTCTTTTTCATTCCAAACGAATATAATAAAATATTTTTTCATATTAGTTTTACATCTTCACTATAAGTAGTACTAACAATATCTGTCTAGATGACTTGCATGATGCAGATTCATCGTACATTCTATACATATGAAACAACTGCAAGAGCAGACACATATCTTAGTTTACACTGTGTACTATCTAACAGTTGATTCCTGCCAAATAGCCTCTCCTAAATTTTACAGGTTTATTATGAAACTAGTTGTATTGAGATTTATAGACTCCTATAGATGAGTACTCAAATCAGCTAGTCATCTCTATTGTCTAATGCATTTAGTATGTAGAAATAAGATTAATGGAAAATTTACCTTCTACAAAATGCACGCTGACAATAAAATTACTTCAATTACTCTATCAACTTCGGGTACTGAATTATAATCAATTTTTCATTAAAGTTTCGAATTTTCAAACAAAAGTTATTATCATGATACACAATATACATAAAATTTGGATATTCATTAATAAGACAATCAAATATTCATTCTTCGTGAAATTTTTATGACGTCCTTGGAATCATTAGTTTATTCGTATGCTAAATTTTGTCAAAAAACTAACAGAAATGAACAGTTCTAGATTTCTATTCCATAATACGGAATTCATTCATTGATTTCTTTTTTATATTTTAGTCATTAGAAATGATCAATAATATTCGAAGCGCTTTTCTTAGTATGCTGAAAAATTCATCTTGGATGGATGAAATTTCAAAAAACAAATCAATAGAAAAAGTAAATTGAAAAATAAACTCTTTCATAACTTTCATTATATTTGAAGGCATTGGCTATTGATGAAAAAATTGGTTATCCAGATTTTTTAGGCAGTGATAATACAACACAACTCGAAAAAATGTATCAAGAGGTAATGATGAATGATGGTTTCTAATCTTTCATATTTTTGTTTTAGTATATTTTCAATGAATCATATATAAGTAATGTTTTAAAATTATTAAAAATAAAAGCCAGTGAAAATCTTCGAATGCTTCGTGAACTTGTTGATCGTAAAGCATGGGGTGCTAGTCCACCAACTATAGTCAACGCTTTTTACAGTCCACCAAGAAACCAAATCAGTAAATAGAATTCTTGTTTTGTTTTCAAATAAGAATCCGATAGTTAAATAAAATATTTTCTTCATGTTGTGTAGTGTATCTTTGACGCATTATTCCAGGATGCATCAATATTAGATAGTTGAGAATAATATAACTATGTATATACTATAATAGAAAATCGACTAAAAATTTAGATATCACATATTATTTGGTAGGAAATCAAGACATTTGATTACTAGTAAAGGTAAGGATTGTGAAATATTTGTAGTTCATCAAATTCTTCTGCCATCTTTTGGAATAACCTTATCTATAAACAGTGTATTTTTAAAGATTTTTCTTACGATAATTGACTTTATTGATTTTTTCATGAGAGCCCTTTATTAGTATTTCCTTCTCTTATGTATATCTCACTAAAGCATTTCAATCCAAAAATGGAGAAAAATGTGAGGAACTTAGTAATCGAAGAACTCATCATCGGATCAATACTATTTAATACCGAAATTTATTTCGTTGGTCATTATGTAATTAGGCTTTGTTGCGAAATTTTTTTTATAAAAAATTAAAAAATAATTTTCTCTGTTTAGTTTTTCCAGCTGGTATTCTACAAATGCCATTTTTCAATAAAGATGCACCGAAGTTAGTTTTTTTTGTTCAGATCTCTTTTAAAAGGAAACTAGCATTATTTATGACTTTTAGATATTTGAATTATGGTGGTAAGTTTCAATAACGTAAAATGATATCATGCCACATAAGATTTTAGCTATCGGAGTGGTTATTGGTCATGAAATTACTCATGGTTTTGATGATAGTGGTCGTCAATATGATAAAGATGGAAATCGTATTTCCTGGTGGAGTGATGATACTATTAAAAAATTTAATGACCGTAAGCAATGTATAATCGATCAATATAGTAACTATGTTGTAACTCAAATTAATAGGACCGTAATGTTTAAAAGAAACTGTTTTCGCACATGTGACGCTTGCTCTTCTTTTCTAAACTTTAGTTGAATGGATTTCAAACACAAGGTGAAAATATTGCTGATAATGGTGGAATAAAAGAATCATTTTATGTAAGTTTTATTTTAAATTTATTTGGAAAAACTGAAGTAAAAGCAAAGTGTCATGGGCAAAAAGTTTTAAAAAGTCTATCTAACTTAACAAACTATTGAAATGAACAAGTTTTTCTCATGTACAATTGATCTAAAATAGCACACTAACATGATTATGCGATTGATGATTGTCGGTAAACAAAAAGATTGTTTTTAAATAGCTTTTATGCGCATACACGTATATATGTATATATATTTATAGGCTTATCAAAACTGGGTTCGAACGCATCCAAATGAAGATAAAAAATTATCTGGTCTATCTGAGTATTCAGCAGAACAAATGTTTTTTATTAATTATGGACAGCTTTGGTGTTCGAAAATGACTAATGCTAATGCATTGAATAGAATTTTAACAGGTGTTCATTCACCGGGAGAATTCAGGTATATTCTATTTATGATAGAAAACATAAGAAAATCAATAGATAACAGAATTTCGTATCCGAAAGAGTATTTATTAAATTAGAAGAAAACATTTGAGTACTAGATCTCTTGAACAACAAGACTCGAGAAATCAGTTTTTGGAAGTCGATGATCAAAGTTCATATTGTGAAAAGAACCTTCTCTAAATAAAGACGTAGCAAACGTTTCATAATTCGATTTCAATGATACCCATTTCATCAAATTCAAAATTCTGATCATCCTGTTTTAGAGCTCGTGGTCCAACATCAAACTTTGACGAATTCGATCGGGCATTTAAATGTTCACCTGGGCTAAACAACAATAGTCAAAATCCCAAATGTGCTGTTTGGTAATTGATAACAATAACATTGAACAACACAGAATCTATTCATATTCATGCCTGACTTTACACGAAAATAGATCACGATTTTTTAGTAATGAAAACAGTTTTGTTCCTTTTTTGTTTTACTGATTCTCTCACAAAGAAGACATAATAAACAGTGAACAAGAAAAATTAAAAACCAAAGTCGATCATTTTTCAAATTATTTAACGATTTAGTAGTCTATTGGTAATAAATGAAAGGCGTTCTCTTACAAGAATAAAGTAATCGTTATTAATTAGGAAGAAAATAACATATCGATCAGCCCGAATATGAAACGAATAAAATAATATTCTATTGATTACTACATGGTTTCTCACATTTTACTTTATAAAGGCAATTGAAGAAATAAAAAAAGTGTTGGGTGTGGGTGTGGGTGTGGGTGGGTGGGTGTAGGTGTGAGTGTGGGTGGGTGAGTGTAGGTGTGGGTGTGAGCTATTAATTTTCTGAAACCCACACGCACGCCCTCATCTACACACCCACATCCCACACCCCACACCGCTGGAAACAGGGAAAACTCGCATAAGATTGTTGTTGCCTGTAAACCCCATTTGTTTGCATTCGAATGATGATGATGATAACATATGATAAAATCCTGAAATATTAAAAATTTTTGAGAGATCTTGATGCTCAATTATGTCAAAATGCATTAGATTCAAAAATAACTTCAAGAAAATGACTTTCATTTAGATGAGTCTTTTTTTTTCTTTTAAAACACTAGAGAGCTTGTAGAATGGTTCGATCAATTCATTGCATACAGGTTACATCAATTTCTGCCCGAACCAAAGTCCTCTCGTTAACTTTTCTTAAAACCTTCAATTCTATAGAAATTTGGCATATTCTCTGATGTTTAGTAGCATACAGTTTCATAAAAACGTATTTCTCTGCAGTCCACGTCAATCCATAATAGAGTTAGTATGATCTTTTCAGATAATTATTACTTGCATGCAATCAGAGCGAATGCAAAAACCAGAGTGTTCCATAGGACTACCAAGTAATCCTATAAATATAGTGTGATCTAAATGTATGTTGCTAATAAATACTTTTTAATGAAAATCTATGCCTCTAATCACATTGAAATGCATAAACTATTCATAGAAATAAAGCTTTTTAGAAAGATTAATAAAGCAAATTTGTCTTTCATATTATTTATTTTCATTAGTAGCGAAAAATCATTTTTTTGAAATTAATTATACAACAAAAACGAATTTATCTTGATCTAGAACAATTGAATAAGATATTCTTTTCTTGAGTTATGTGATCGATATTTAAGTGATTGATCACCTTTAATTCATCTAACATATTCTCATGAATCATTATTTCTTCGTCCTAAAGCTCTTGTACTTCGTCAACAAGATATAGCAGGTGAATATCATCGGTAATTAATTGAAACACCACTACTGATTCAATCCGAATTTGTTGTCTTTTATTATTATGTGATTGGCTTAATGAAACTCGAAATAAAACATCATCAACAATAAACCAAAAACTTGATTTATCATTATTATCACTTATATTTGAATCATATCTAGCAATGCGTGGGTGTGGGTGTGGAGGTGGAAGTGTAGGTGTAATAAGGAAGATTTGAAAGCGCACCCACACTCACCCTAGTTAGTGATTATTCATAGAAGAAAACAAAAATTATTATTTAATTGAATGAAGAAAATTAAACTTTTAGAAGTTTTATAAAACTTTCTGTTTTTCTTTTCACTTGAATTAGAAAATGTAAGAACATTAGTAAAGAGAATGCTAATGAATAACTATGTAATAGTGCTTAGTTTTAATAGTGAATGTAAACTTATTCGCACATTTATTCTTATCTATCATCTAAATAGAAGAAATTTCAATGAATATATTGGTTCGAATCTCGAAATACAAGATTCTTCATATGCTACAATATAAAAATATTTATAGCAGCTGTATAAATTATTTGTGTGCTTAATTGAAAATTTCCAAACCAATCATGCAGCATTTTTATTGTTCGATAAATTCACATTCATTGTTTAAAAATATTTCAATTTATATTATTTTATATCTATTTGGATCGAGAACATTATTATTTATCAGATGATGTTGGACCAATAGACCCAGTGTGGTCAAAGCTAGCTTTTCTTCGACTGCTGGTCCGTGATTTTGCCAATATTCACCAAACACACCATGTGAATCAGCTGGGTTGAGCTGAGAGACACGAAATCCCCGAAAAGCGATAGCTACAGTTAATTCATGCATATCTTGATCAGCAATAAGGACAGGTATAGGTCCAGAATAGTTACCGATGGAAAATTCGTGAACAAAATCATCATATGTATCTGGAAGCTGATGACCATTTCTATCTTTTGCGAAGATAGGCAAAGCAAAAACAATAGCGCGAATATTTCGAAACATGGCTCCTTCCTTTTGAAGTACTAATCCAATGGCATAGGCAGACAGTTTTCGAATTAGACCATCAATTCCAAGATGCTTGCCAGCGAATACACCAAGGCCAATACCGGTCTCCACAACAATTTCTACTCTTTCCATATTACATGCGTATAATCGTATTCTTACCATTCTCATAAGATCATCAACCAGACGTCTTTCGTCAAGTTGAACTTCTGGATGAGATTGTACTGGGTAAAAGTCTCTTCCATTAAACACTTTTGGCTTGCCTGTTATTTGATCGAGTTCGAAAATTTGGTGCCAATTTTTGATATAACTTGTAATATCATCGACATCATGTTTTCGTCCGGCAAAATCAAAACCTGTCACTGAAACGAGTTTGATCCGATTTGGCCAATCATCATGTAGAGAACGCGGTAGTATTTTTGCGTCGAATTTCATCAAGATAGGACAATCAGACATACGGACAACAAATTTCATACGAAAAGCTTCACCGCCATTTTCACTTTTTCCTTGAAGAGCATGATAAAGAAATTTTTTGTCCATGCCTTGAACATTTCTATCAGCATACACGACGTAAGAATTTTGCCACTTTCGAATTTCATCTACAGTCATGATAAATGGACTGTGAAATTGATCATGAGGAAAATAGATTTTTTTATTGGTTTCTAATTGTGAAATAGGTTTCAATAGCTTAAATGCTCGTACACCAGATACAATGTATTGACCTTCAATATTATGAAAACCAAAATTTTGCTCAAGAAAATTTTCCATTTGATTAGTTTCTGAAATACATTTTCCACTCATGGGGCCCTGTTTGTTCATAATTGGAAGACTCTGCGTTAAGTATTCGAAAAGACTGCGTACATCGTTCATAGTGTGCTGATCAACACCAAACATTTCGCTCGGATATGGTCCTCTAGGTGTTCTTCTTGGAGATGGTCCTTGGTATGCATTGGACGAATAATGAACGCGCTCTTGGACCCTAGCATATTCTTCCTTTCCTCCTCGCGCATCACTTTTCACATTTTGGGGCAAACTAACAGATGGAGCAAGTCTATATTTTGGTTGACAACCAGGTTCTAGACCACGTGGCGAATTAATCGAATTATCTGTCTTTGGCTTTTGTTTGTGAAGAACTAACGAGTCATATGAAAAATTGCTCCCAACACCAATTATGTTACTCGACCGCTTGAATTCCACTTGTTTCGAGTAGAGAAAATCCAATCCAACACAGGCCTTTGATATAAGCATCGGTCGAGATTTATCTCTTGAATCATCTGTAGCATCTAAATAAATATTACAAGATTGTTCTTTTTGTCTGTGTTCAAATTGTATTAATATTCAAAAATTAATAGGTTGTTTCGTATGAAAAAATAGAATAAGATTGAAGAAAAAGCAATTCTCAAGTAATGTCACAAAGAAATGTCTCAGATACATTTCTCATTATATTTTTGAAAATTCTACATATTCAATGTTTGGTAGTAGACTATCGAGAGAAAATCACTTAATGGAAAAACTATTTTGTCTACTCTTATTTTAGAAAATTAATGGAACATGGTATTGATGTTCTTCATTATAGATGCTGGAATAAACAACCAAAATTATAATCTTTGGTATTATCAATGTGTATTACTAATTCAAAACGAAATTCTGATTGATTTTTAAACGAAATCAGAACAAAATATACTTGCCTGAAACATCGTTTGTCACTAAGATGACGTTCTCCTTGAAATTTTTGTTGCGATACAGCGTTTTGAAGTTCCGAGTTTGAACACGAATATCATCGGCTACATGCTTAAGCATAGTTTGGACATCTATATTGGGCATTGTAACATATTTTAGTAAATTTTCCATGAAATAACCGTCTCTATTATTTCTTGTTTCACTAAGTGCTGTTATATTCGAACAATTTGAATAAACTATTAGTGTTTGTCATGTGACTGTTGGACATATTAAATTTTGCTGAACATTCTCTTCAGCATTTCTCATGGCTTTTCTACAGGTATCTAAAATGAATATTTTGATACCACACTTTTTCTTCACAGACTGAACTACGGAGTCCAATGAAATAATGCCATCTAACGACTGTAAATAATTCTCTTTCTCTTTCGATTTGGCATGACCAGCAAAATAAAATAGTGCTAAATCATTGGGTTGAAGCTCGTTAGCAAATGTTTTTAAAACTTGCTTAAATTCTTTTGATTGAAGATTGACTTTTGTTGTTACAGTAAAGGCAATATTTTCAAGAGTCTTGTGAAAATCTTGAACATCATTAATACAATACTCTAAGGGACAGAAGATATAATTGTTGATACCAATAAGTAATGCTCGCTTGTGTGGAATAGTGCACTGTGAAGCCATTAAATCTAAAATTCGGTAGTAAACATATCAGACTGATCACGAAGGATTATGAAAGAAGTAAATAAGACAATATTCCTTTACAATTTCTTGTATTTCCTGTTATCCTCAATATATTCTTTTATCTATAATTTTTTGAAATGCAAAATATGTGATAAATATATAAATAATCAAAAATAATTATATCAATCGTTGATAGTTCATTATTTTGAAAGTTTAGTATGATGACTATC